GCGTTCAGGATTCGAGGCTCACAGGTCTCCAAAGTGTAGAACAAAGAGTGCTCATTGCGGTGAGACTTTCTCTCAGATTCAAACCCCTGCCTTTGACAAAAAACTTGTGATGTATATGCTACGTAAAATGACTAATTAGGTGAAATTTTCTTATGTAGTAGACAGATGTTTGGTCAAAAGTGTCATGCCCAAATGAAAATTTTAAGTATGTCACAAAATGTCATCAGGATTGTCCTGCTACGATGTTGTACAAGGTTTTGATTTCTAAATTTCTGTGTAAACATGTGTAATTGTTGTCTTTTAATAGTCTATAGGAATTTAAATATTAGAATATCCATGGTTGTTAGAAAACAAGAGTTCCATGTTATGTCTGAGGTGTTTCATATTCAGATAGTGATATTGGGCTTACTGCCTCCATTACAGGGTAAGGTCATTACAGTTCTCCTCTGCACGTTTAACAGCTAAAATTTGGAGATCAAAACTTAAAGAGATAGATGGGCTAAAAGGAGAGCCAATATTTTGGCCCTAACCCTTCCAGGCCAGGGAGGACTCAGGACATAAGAAAACCTCTGCTGTGACACCCTGTAACTCAGTTGAGTCCCTGATTTTCTGAGCAAGGAGATAATGGGGCCTCAAGGCAAAGTGACTGATGATGTAGAGTGTGCCTGAGGAGAGTCGCCTAAAAACGATCTCTCAGGCTCTCACAGAGAGCAAACTGGTCAAGCAATGGCCGTGACTCATCCAGATGGCTGACCCTGACAGAAGATCTAAGCGGTGCGGTACATGGTTCCAAGGTAGATCCTGAGGAGATTTGATTGACCTTGTCAGGTAGCAAAAGTTAAATTTGTATTTATACAGGTCTTGCTTTAACTTGGTCTTAACCATTCAGCAGAAAAGCATCACCACAAGATATGAAAAGGAATGCCGTATTAATATGCTAGGCTATAAAAGGCTCAAGTCACTAACAACTCCTGACAATTGCCAGCTGTGCTGATGACTCATTACTATTAGGGACTCTTGGACCATATAGGGTCACACTGCTGAATTCAAGTACCTAAAGGTTTTGGACTGGTGTCAAGTATGAAAAGGTCCTCTAAAGACTTCTCCAAACACAGCTTCTCTAACTGCAGTGGAACATCCATCTCTGACAAAACAAAACAAAAAGGTGGATATGTTGGGAGCCATGGAAGCTAGAGAATTGGTCAGATGTGTTAAAGCAGGACTAGGCCTCAGAGCCTAAAGCAGACAAGCTAGCTCAGTCCTGAGATAAGCATCCTGACTGGTTAATACCAGCTGTTGGTCACTAGGCAACCTTGTGTCACATGTTACTAACTTTGCAAAGGCATAAATGAATGTCCATATTGTTGCTCTGGGGGTCATCTCACCAACCAGGCAGACGAGTCACCACCTAACCAGCTCTTGTCTTGTTGTCTGTCTTTTCTTCATTCCGGCTGCTATTTTTTCCTGGGTACAACAGACCACACTGAGAGACCAACTGGTCCCTGCCCTTGACAATGCTGAATGTCCCCCTCCCTGCACATTTTCGGCTCCCCAAGCAATTTGACCTAAAGGAAATTAAAAGCCCTGAAAAGTGGGTTAAAAAGCAAGGTCCCTGCAATCTTGTAGAGAGCCTGTGGGACTACGTGTCATCCCGACCATCACTTGGACCCTCAGAGTCACCTGCGCCTCTCTCCCTTGAGGGGACAAAGAGCGTCGAAGCTTCTGCTCAGGTTGGGCCAGTGCATGATGACCCTGTGTGGCTGTTACCCACACAAGAAACTTGCGTCTTATCTCTACTAATCTGCCTTTGTCAGACAGCAAACCTTTGGAGGGCAGAGGCGAAATCGCTCTCTCCTCCACAACCCAACCCTTCTCCAAGCCCATGGGCGAGGCCTTCTGGGAGTCATTATGTCCTGCAACTGCTTGCTGATCAAGAATGAGATGTAAACTGAAAGTGAATCACGGCAGCCAGGCACTGCAGGCTCATTCAAACTTCTGCAAACAAAACAGAGTGTAGGGAAGGAGAAAAATTAAAACCTGCCTTCTGGATCTGGAAGATAAGGCTGGAGTGTGAGATTTTGAGAAGCTGTAGATTAGCTGTGTACTTCTGGTCTCCAACTCTTCAAAGCTCTGCCCAGCCCAGGAGAAATTTCCCCCTCCTTCCTCTCCCCCTTGTTTCCTCCTTCTCTTCTCCTCCTCCCTCTCTCCTCCTCCTCTTCCTCCTCCTCTTCCTCCTCCTCCTCCAACTCCCTCCTCCTCCAACTCCCTCCTCTTTCTCATTCATTTATTTCTTGGCCACATGATCTGACATCTCTCCCACAGCAGTAACTGGGCTTCCCAGATACAGCAACTCACTGCTAGTTTTTCCTCATCTAGAAAAAGACGAAGATAATGCACTTGTGTTAGTGGGAAGTGCCTTATTGCCCTAAAAATGCTCTTGAGGCTGGCCTCTCAGTGAAGAATTTGGGAAGTTCAAGAGGGGAAAACAGGGATTCACACAAGAGCCAGTCCTCCGGTGGCACCGGCCCCTCAGCTCTGTGGGTCAGCTGGGGGAGACTCCTTTCCCTGCTGGCCTTGGGTTTGCAGGCCTCGGTTTCTATGTGGATGAAGGGGCTTCAGGCTCACGGCGCCTGATGCATCCTGGGCTCCTGGCCCAGCACGGCCCTGGCTCACAGGTGTTTTCCTCCCTGAGCGATCTCAGTCTGTACGTGTTCTTGCCCTCTTAACAAAACTCAGAGACCAAATAGTGTGTTGATCTGGCAAATACTTGTGAATCCCAGCTGCGTGCACAGCGGCAGTCGCCTGGACAAGAGAGCTGGCCTGAGCCCTGGAAAGCAGCTCCTCCCTGGGCCCCAGACCCCGAGGGACCACGGCCATGTCCCTCCAGGGTCCTGATGCATGGACCCCAGATCAGACCTGCTCGCTGTGGTGCAAACCCCAGCACAAAGCCTCAGAACTCGGAATACTGAAGGAAATATTCAGAAACTGGGAGGAAATCACCCTTTTTCCTTTCCCACATGATGGCCACATCCCCTCCACGGCAGGGGTGGGAGAGCCCAGAGGGTGACAGGACTGCCTAGGGACCCAGACAGGACTGGAGTCTGGCCTTCGGTGGGTTGGGGTGGTTTGGGAGGCTTGGTCAGGCAGGCCAGTCACAGCCTGAACGGTTTCTGCTTGAAAGGAGCTGAGCTGCTCAGGTCCCTCCTCCCCCTTAGGGGGCCAGAACTTGGCGGACAGCTCAGTCGCATGCCCAGCCTCAGCGTCGGGAGCCAGGGGGGCGCGCCACACCTAGCCACAGCTGTCTTTAGATATGCAAAATTGGAGTGAGAGGCTGGCGGAGCCGGCTCAGAGGGTTTCATTTCTTAAGTTAGCATTTTCACTTGCTTGATTCCTTTGCGCCAGTGCACGGTCATGCAGTGTGGGAAGCGGGCACAGGGACACAGCTCACCTCAGCCCTCCTGCCACACTCTTCTGAGCCCCCCTCCATCTCTCGGGCACCTCAGTCACAGCTTTTCATCCTGACAGTTTTCCTCGGTGGTCAGATGCCGAAACTGCTCAGCCGCTCAGCCGCTCAGCCGCTCAGCGAGGCAGAGCTAACAGACGCGCGAGAGAAGCCTGCGGCCACGGCTCCAGCGCACGCGACTGGCTGGACCAGGGGCCTGGCTGCCGCGTTGCCTCCACAAGAGCACTTTATTGTTTTCTACCAATAAATACTTTGTGGTGAGCTATTTTAATAAAACGCTACAAGGGATAAGAACTGCGTAGCGGAATCAATCCCTGCGGCCCCAGGATTGCACCAGCTCTCTGCGCAAGCTGCTGGGACTGGTTTTTTTTCAGCACTTATATTTTGCAGAAGTGTGTGTGTGTGTGTGTGTGTGTGTGTGTGTGTGTGCATGTGTGTGTGTACGCGCGTGCGTGTGTACTGCTTCTATAGCGCTAGCTGTGGGATTTGTTAATCAAATGAGCTCCACCCAGCAGGACGACCTTGCTTTGCAGCCAAGTCTCCCCTCTGCGATTGTTACCCCTGTACCTAACATTTAGTTCTTCTCTGAATGTTGTGAAATGATGCATGTCCAAGGCTGGCTTGAGATACTTCAGGGCAGGCACCAGCCGAGGCACATGCGGCTTAGCCAAAGCCAGTCAGCCCGACCTCGTGTGTGTGTGTGTGTGTGTGTGTGTGTGTGTGTAAGCATGCAGCTAGAGGGTGAGGCTGAGAGCATGTGGTTCGTGTGATGTATGTTATGTGCGTGGGTGTTTGTGTATGACTATTTTGGGGCGGCTGTGTTTGTGTGTGAGCTGTGTATACTCTGTATGTAAACCTGTATATGTGTGGCTGTATTCCTTTTGTGGTTCTGGGGACTGAACCCACAGCCTTTGCACTGGGCTACAACCCAGCTCTTTTTCTTTTCTTTTCTCTCCCTCTCTCCTCTTTCTTTCTTTCTTTCTTTCTTTCTTTCTTTCTTTCTTTCTTTCTTTCTTTCTTTCTTTCTTTCTTTCTTTCTTTCTCTTTTAAGTTGCAAAATTGCCCAGGCTGAGCTGCAGCTTCTACTCTCCTACCTCAGCTTTCTGGAGTGCAAGGATTACGGACCTATGCCCCCCACGCCCGGCCCATGTATGTGTGCGCGTGCCTGTGTTTGTAGGTGAGTGAGCACTGCACATGTGTGTATTTGCAGCCATGCATGCTGTGAGTGCGCGCCTGTGTGTGCTGGGTGCAGCAGCGTGTGCTCTGCACTGTGTGCCCCGTGTGGTGTGCCCTGTGGGGGGCGTGCACCCTGCAGGTTTGTGTGACTGCCCTGGTCTGCGTGGTGCGCCGGCCGAGAGTCGGCGGGCTGCGCGCAGGCCAGAACCTTGAGCCTTGAGCCACCAGCCGTCCCCACCTCCTCCCGCGGGCTGGCGGGCGGGCTCTGCCCTCGCCTTCGTCTCCAAGCCGATTACGGCTCGGCGCCCACGTGACGCGCCCGCCTCTCTGCGCGCGTGGCCGGAGCAGAGCTGCGGCCGCCGCGGGCTCCCGGGCTCCTGGGCGGGGACGCGGCGAGCGCGGAGGCCGAGTCGGGCCGGGTTGGGCCGGGCAGGCGGACCGATGGGCGCGCGGCTCCGCCATGCAGAAGAGCGTGCGCTACAACGAGGGCCACGCGCTGCACCTGGCCGGGCTGGCGCGCAGGGAGGGCACGAAGCGCGGCTTCCTGAGCAGGCGCGCGGCCGAGGCGAGCCGCTGGCACGAGAAGTGGTTTGCGCTCTACCAGAATGTGCTGTTCTACTTCGAGGGCGAGCAGAGCGGCCGCCCCGCCGGCCTCTACCTGCTGGAGGGCTGCAGCTGCGAGCGCGCGCCCGCGCCCCCCAGGGCCACGGCGGGCACCGGGGCGTCGCGCGACGCGCTGGACAAGCAGGTACCGCGGCCGCGGCTGGCGGGCGGGGGCAGTGGGACCCGGCGGGACCTCGCCTCCTGTGGCGCGACCTAGTCCCGCGCAGCTAGCTCCTTGTGGTGTCCACCAAAAGCCTGAAGGAGGGATGGCGCTGGGGCCAGTGGGGACACCTGTTGGACGCAGATCCGCAGGACCCAAAGAACTTATTAGGAGAAGTTTGGCTTTGCCTGCGCCCGACCGGCGCAAGGTGACTGCTCCGTTGCGCTGGGACGCGGCCCCCTTGGCAGTCGCTGCCGGTCGTCCCTGCCTTCGCGCTTGTAGCCCTGGGGTCCACTGGCAGAAGGGACGGGTATTCCCCTGCTCTGGTGACTGCTAGTCTCTGTGTCCCTCAGCCCCTGTCGCTGCGGGCACCGCCTCTCCCGTGTTCTGAGACTGCCTGCAAGCCGCCTTCGGCTCTGGGTCGCTGTGCTTGGTTTTGCTGTGCGCTCGTGGGGTGGAGCCGCGGGTGGAGCGGCCCCGGTCTCCGCTCCTGCGAGGACCCACTTCGGTGTTTTGCAGCCTGATTTTATGCTTCCAAATGTTCTTACTTGGCTTTTAGATTCCCGTTTCGGAGGGAGGTGTCTGCTGTCGCATGAACGTATTTTGCCCCTGGGTTTTCCCTGCAGGTCAGAGGAGCTGTGTCTTTTGCAAACCTTGAGGCGGTGGGAAGCGCTCCTCAGCTCCTCATAATAGGGAAGGCTGGGAAGCCATCTGGCCACCCTCAGGCTCCTAAGTGAAAAATTAGGAGCCCTTAAACCCAGATCAGGAAGACCTTGGCTCGGCCCTTCACTTCGCTTTCAATATGAATCATTAACTGACGTCACTGATTAAACTTATAGGTCTGAAATTTTAAACAGGACCTGTCATTTGAGGGCATGTTTAGTCCCTTGAAAAACTGATTTGCAACTTGGTAGATACAGACATAGAATAGAGACAGAAATTTCAAAATATGCATTTTACAATTTAAATTGAAGGAAGGGTTTAGAGGAAACAGATTTTTTTTTCAGGATCTATCTGTCTGTCTGATTTTACTATTGAGATTTTGAAAAATAAAAGTTATGTACCCCAAGATTCCACAGGATCCAAAACAAATAGGGTGTTAGGTACTGTAATATCTAAAATAAAATAGAGTACTTGAAATTATTTGTGTATATAATAGGCTCAATTCTCATTTTTTTGGTTTGCTTGCATTTCTTTTTTCTGTTTTTTGAGCTGCGAGGAGATATTGCTACTGTCATAGTTCAGGCTGTCTAACCCCCACCTTGACAAGAGAAGCAACATTTTGCTGTTTGGAACGTATGCAGGTGGTCACCTTTGGCACTTGAAGCCAGCTTTCCTAGGGAATTTCAGTCGCTCGGGGACCAGCTGACCCACGTCTTCTGTTCATGGTCATATAACTTGGGAGTATGTCCCAGTCGTCATACGCAAGCTTAAGAGGTTGGAGAGCAGAACCTTAGGGTCTGCAGACAGAACTGCAGGCCAGGGGCAAGCATTTCAGAAGTGGGGGGCCGGGAAGCCTCCGTGCTGGCCTGCCCAGACGAGGCTCAGTGACTTGTGTTAGCGCCCTGCCTGGGCTGTGCCCAACCCTGCCTGTCTAGGTGGGTTTGATGAATCAGGAGATGCAGAGCAGAAGAGAAGGATGGAGGAACTTGGGATTCCGGGTCTACAGCTGAGGGGTCAATTGTGCTGCTGTTGTTCAGATGGTCACAGACATGAGATTCAGGATCTGGGGTGCTGCGGGCTTGGGTGGGGAGGGAGGGCGCAGCAGACATCTGTCTTGCTTGGTCCTACCAGTGTCCATCCAGGGCTGATCCTGGGACTGAGAGGCACGGTGCCCTCTGCCATGTTTCCGGTGGCTTCTTAGGCAAACATCAGAATCTTCTCTTTTTTCTGCTGTGTTTCTGAAATCTCCTTCGTGGTGGTCTGCAAAGACCAGCGACTAGATAAAGCACCCTCCCCTCCTGCTGCTTCTGGGTTGTGGTGGGTGCTAGCTCTCTGCTGAGCCGGGCCCTGGAAGGCGGCTTCACAGGATTTGGGGTGTCGCGGACAGAGCTCAGTGCTGCAACCAGGAGGCTGATGGCGTGAGGACACTGAGCCAAGGTGTGGCCACTCTGTGGGCCGGCCAGGTCGCCAGATGCACAGACCTGTGCTAATGCCCCTGAGATGGGGAGTGCTGCACATTCCCACACTAGGACAGGTCGCAGCGTCTCTACTGTTACAGTAGTTGTGGTCATGATGCCACAAATGGGCTCTCATCTTTCTTGGGAGTTTAAATTCTACCTCTCTTCCAAGTAGCTTCTTAATTCTAATTAACTATGTTATAAAGGAAGTTATAAGAAAAAAAATCCATTGGTTTGCATCACTGACATAATAATTCCAAATAGGGTGGTTGCCAAAAAAAAAGGAAAATTCAGTTGTTCTTAGTCCTTTGTCTTAGATTGTTCCCAGTTAAGTGGAGAAATAAAGTGGTTTTCATTTTCCAAGTATGCGAGAGACAAGGAGGAGTATCTATTGCCTTGCAACAGATTTTTTGTGTCTCAGGACTCCGAGTTGGTTACCTTTGTGGGACAGCTGGGCTCCTACCCCACTCCCACAGGGCCAGTGTATTTGGGGTAGTAACAGTGCTATGATCCAATTAGTTCAGGTCCAAAAATGCAAGAGCTGCCTTTTCTCTGTAAGGACCTCTGTCTTTTGTACTAGTGCATGCTGCTGTGCTAACAGTCACACTCCTCAGGGGAAGTTCATGTGTACAAGTGACGCAGCACTGTTCTTTCTGCACCCCTCCCTTGTCTCCTCATCCCTTCCCATGTACGAAAGGTCTGTGATGTTTCTTTCCTTGAAGCTGTGTTCCAGTGCACTTCTGTCTCAAATGCCCCATTGAGGGAGGGCGGCACACGCCCCTGTATCCCGGGGCGCAGCTGCATGGTCCAGCGCTCGCCTGGCACGGTTGAACCCC